TATTGTCCGGCCTCCCCTTTGAACCTGTGTGCTTCGGACGAAAACCATGTGGTTCCTGCGGTGGAGGTCTACCAGCCTTCCATTCTCCAGGCAACCTCTCCCGCCACCGCTGAGCTCTGGCCCTCGGCTTCCAGGGATGATCCATGTTTGACCACAGTTTCAAGGTACCCAACTTCTGATCTGCACATGGCGCAAGATGGCATGTCGGATGAGAAATACAGTTCGCTGCTGGGCCTCCTGGAGCAAGAGAGATGTTCTGGGCCCGTCCAAGAGCTGCTTCATTCCCGATCGGCTTGTCTTACTGGTTCGGCTGGGTTGCAAAATATGAGCCAGAGGTAAATCTGTCCAGGTTTATATTTTGATTCTTTAGCGCTTTCAAGATGGGGGGGGGGAGGACAGACGGTGTTTTTCAAGAAGGAAATGGTAAATATGATTTCTTTCTTCCAAGTGTCCTCATGTGGGCTTGATTTTTTTTTAAAGAAAATCTCCTGGGATTTAGAAAAAATCTTGGAAAACATATCTGAAACGCTTGAGCAGAGGGTTGGACTAAGAGACCTCCCAGGACCCTTCCAGCTCTATTCTGACTGAACTGAATTGGATTTTTTTTTTTTAAACTGAACCAAACTGAAGTTGAAATAGACTTATACGATCTGGAGAGAAACCAGGGAATGGACTATTGAAATAATCGCTCGCGTCCTGCTGTAAAGAAGCTTGGATTCAGTTGTTGTCGTGGGGAAAATAGGAGGAGTGGGAAGGTGTGTTGGATATGTTTGCTGCCTTGAGGGATTTGTAAAAATAATCAAAAAGCGGGATACAAATTAATAATTGTGCAATTTGTCTTCCTATCCCTGATGTTATACTTGAATATTATCCCCTAACTGTTGATCTCTTGTTCTTTTCTAGGTATCCCTGCTAAGGCCAATTTGCACTTTTCAAAATGGACCTGTTTGTTTGCTAAAAGACTTTCCAAGGACTTTTGAAAATAACAGAACTGTAGTTAAGAAAAGCAGTCAAATGGTACTCAACCACCATCTTCTCTCACGCTACTTTTTCCCCCGTGGTTTGCTTTTCATTTTTGGAAAGGGGACAGAGAGACGCTCTCACATGTCTTGAGTTGTGCCCAACAGTGTGCAGAAATCCAGTTCCATGGAAAACTCCCTGCCTCTAGTTTTCAAACCCAGCTGAAAACTGCCACCTCTGGCTTCCTGGGGATCCTTGTCTTGGGGGTGTCCAGAACTGTTGAACCAGGACCTTCAGCCATTCTTTATTAGCTTACAATCTTCCATCCACTGCCACCTGTTGCTTGCTTCCGAATCTGATCTCAGTTTAGGAATAATATAAAAATAGTTTGCAGGCTGGCAATCACCACATGATGGCAGCAAATCTCAGAATTTGGTCTCATCCTAGGCTGAAGATCACCTCAACCAGACCCTGCTGAGCAAAGATGCATCCATACTCAAGATGCTAAATTAAGGGCCTTTTTTCAGAACTGACATAAAATGTTGCCTTTGGGAAGTTCAACTCAATGGGTGGGAGACATCCCAAGGGCCATAAGAGAAACGTATAGCTTTCTTCTGTCCAAATCATTGTTATTTTTTTTGACACACTCGTATGGTTTCTGTTCTTAGCAACCACAAACTAAAGGCTGTTGCTCCTATCAAGAACATCTCCCTCCCATCTCAGAGTAGATGCAGTTGGAGGAGGACGTCTATGATGGTGTGTCTGTTCAGACCAGTCTTGTCTATACTGGTCCAGGGCCTCTCAAGAGAAGAAGAAGATTGTTTCCTGTTACTCACCAGGTGACCCTTGGGTGGTTTAGTGGCTCATGTGCAAACCTAGCCTTATTTGGTTCGTTTTCAGTCTGGAGTATCCTGTGAATCTGGAGAATGAGTTATCAATTAAAGCTGGTGCACTTCCTGGTGAGCATTTGTGTGGCTTTTCTTCAAAACACACATGTGGGGATCTTCTAAGCATGATGCCAAACCTCAGAGCAACTCGACATCCCCTTAACCAACCCACAAGCTGGGAGAACAAACCTTCACCCTCTTGATAAGGGTGTCCACATACGAAGAAAAGCAGAGTTTCATCCCCACAGCTGTGGCCATCATCTTGACTTTTGGCCAGATCTTGTGGATACCTCTGCTGTGATGGAAAGATCACCCCTCATTAAGTAGGTTAGCAAGCACTAAGATCTCCAGCTTCTGATTGCTACATAGTGGAACCTATTTGAGTTGCCCTGATATCTATAAGGGGCCTAAAATGAGAGGGTGGTGCTCAAATTGAGCTCCATGAGATTAGAAAGTACTGTGGGGTCTTCTGTGCACTCTGAGCTTGGTGTTTTCCTTGCCGTTTTTTCATTACCAGGCTAGGTAATATCAGTGCATTAGTTGGGTAATGAAAAATCGGCAAGGAAACCACCAAGCTCAAAAAGCACTAAGGATCCCACAGCCCTCCTCCTCCTCCTCCTCCTCCTCCTCCTCCTCCTCCTCCTCCTTCCACTGTTCTCCACAAACCTCACTCTCTTCTAGTACTGATGATATTCCCTAGCTGGGTCATGAAATGTCTGCAAGAAAACCACCAAGCTCTGAGAGCACCAAGGACCCCACAGTCTCTGGGATTTTATCCAGGGCTCTAGAGAAGGACTCCATTGATGCCCACTTCCCTTGCAGTCCAGCAATAATTAAAATCTGTTCTCTAGGTTTTCTAGTCTCTTGAAAACCAGGAGTCTGTTTGCACTTTTCAGCTAAATACATTTGATTAAAAAGCAGAGATGGCAGAAAACACCAAACAAACCCACAGATTCAGGACTTCTGAGTTGCTTGATTATGAAGCATCACATATTTCTCTTACTAAAAAAACCCCTTATTTTTGTGTCTCTACCACCATTTAGCTTTTTTGGAATCTATACCCTCCGTGACAAAGGCAAGGGTAAAAAAATAAAGTTATGTCCTCCAGTTCAAAAAGGCAATACAAAACGAAATTATTGACTTTCTTGACCAGCCTTATTCCCCTCTCCAAAATGCTGTAATTTATCTCAGTGATGGTACATCTCTATGAGGAAGAGGCAGAGAAGAGAAAGAGGAGACAAATCAAATATAAATCTAGAAGACAGCTTTTTGATTGATGATATGGCCTTGATGGAAACATTTTTGGCCACCTGGAAACAACAAAATGACACCATCAGCACTTCTAGCACCTTTGAGCTTGTTGCAATGGAATTGTTGCAACGGAAGGATGCGAGGTCAGAGATTTGACTGTCAGAACACAGTTGGGGGTTAATCTCTTCAACAGCTTTGATAAACGGACTAAAAAATACATCATGAACATGGAGAGAGTAGCAGCCTTGGAAAGCTTATCTGGAATGGAAAAGTTGACTTTGCATTATTGTTTTTTGTAGAGTAATAAAATGACATCCTGATGAAATAACCGTCTTTGGAAGTATCGATGGGTAGAAGAAATGGAAGTTTTCCAAAACACAAGGGCAAAAATGCCTGTGGAGATTCTCAGTCATCGGGGGTCATCGTTGCCCCAAGGGTGCTTTTTCCGAAAGCAACTGGACGGTTTATTCTTGATGAAGATGTTTGTTTCTTGAGAAGCAAAACATTTTCCTCTTCCTCAAGAAAAAGTAGCCCAGTTGCCTTTTTAAAAAAGCATCTTTGAAATGTGGGCAAAAGAAACTGATTGTCAGATGCTTCCACGGCAGGAAAGCCCTCTAATTAATATAATTCTGCAGGAAGAAACTATAAAAAATAAAACTTGCAGAGAAAATAGAGAAAATCGGAGGAAGAGGGAATGAATGAATGAATCAATCATATTTACTTTGCCAGTGATCAGAAAAGTCAAAGAACAAAAACAGAGGGAAACAAATAAATATAATAATATACTATCAATTAGCAGAAAAAAAAATAACAGAATACAACCTTCACTCCTTTATTATTGCATTAATACAGTTGTTACCCAGGGGATAAATCTAAAATGTGAATAGGCATGTTAAAAAAAACTTTATATACCCCTACAAGTTATTAATTAAGATATATCAAGCCAAGAGTAATATTTAAAACAAGCGTAAATACATCCTTAATCAATTAAATCTTGCTTTTATCACAGCAACAAAAAAAGTGTATTGGCTATGTGCGCCACCTTATTTATAACAATGATAGAGGCAGGAAATGCATAAACAACTAAAATACAAATTCACCTTCCCTGTTTAAGCCTTTAGGCCCACTTATGAGGCAGGAGGTGTTAATTCAGGATTCAGGTTTTACCTTGCAATCCTTCAGCCTTAAACCGACCAACAACTACTCTGTGTTACCAAAATGGTTCCCTTTTATGACAAAGATCTGGGACTCGTGCTTTGAATGTTGTAGATTTTCCTGCCCACGAATGAATGTTACCTTTATATTTGCTGTGTTTTGATAACATTTTATTTGGTTTTTTTAAAAATGTCCCTGGCCCCTTTCAGATACCAGAATTCAAAGTTCTTTGGTAAAAAAATGACCTTGTTGCTTTGAGGGACATCCTGAGGGCTTTTCATGGTTATTGTTTTTGAGGATTAATATTGTCTGTAATTATTTCTGATTCTGAAATAATTAAAATGACAGAATGATCAGGATCAGGGGTAGCAACATTAAGATAAGAGCATCATCTGCCAGCTTTCCAGAGAAATCATGTTAGATTAGATAAGTTTTCTTGAATGAAATATGTCAGCACATAGCAGCTGAGGATACCAAATAAGGACGAATTAGATGGACTTTTGGATTTAACTCAGAAATTTTTTTAATGTTCTTCTTGTCCTCTGTTCAGAGAAATGATATCCAAAGAGGTCCCTGTGTTGTGATTTGTTCTTCCTCCCTTTGAAGGAGGAAAGAGGAGGAGAAGGAAAGAGGGCACCCTGAAAAAAGGTTAGAGCAGAGGAAATAATTCAGGGCAAAGGACCCCAGGAATGGTTTTCTGACAGAGCTGTTGGAAACGGGCTTCAAATGATGATTTTATTTCATTGTTGTTATGGAAGAGGAAGATTAGCACACACACACACAAATGCTCCACACACTCAGAGTGGAAGATGCAGTTTGTTCCTCAGGAAGTTGTGGGCTGGCACATGCAGTGCAGAGCAAGACCCAAATTTCATGGTAGTTGCACTAGAACTTTGGAAGGTATAGATACTGCACATGGAGGAACTGAGGGAGCCCTATTCTCCATCAAATTTGCCACCGGCTGAACCAGTGTCAAGGGTCACCATGAAGACCTTCCTGAGTGTGATCTGTGTCTTTGTTATTGCCCAACTTGTGGGGACTGTCCTCTACATTTTGCACCTTCACATCAAGTTAGACAAGGTAAGCCCGGTTTGTCTATAGAGAAGATGTCAAGGATGGATTTTCATGGGTGGGAAGGCCAACAGTGGACCACAGGTTGAATTCATGTGGCATCAAATGTTTATTTCTGCTTGCTGATGTGGTGGTTAGCGTGTTTATTGGGGGGAACCAAATATCAACCCCACATGTTGCAATGGAAGGATGTTTAATGATTTTAGACCAGTCATACTCTTCCTGGTTTCACCTCAATCTCTTGAGAGTTGTGGGAACATACTGGAAGAAAGTGTCCTGTGAACGTTGTCTTAGCTCCTGGAGGAAAGATAGGTATAAATCTAACACATGGATAGATAGATGGATGGATGGATGGATCGGTGGATGGATGGATGGATTGGTCAATCTTGATTATTCTCATTCCATTGAATGGAAAGAAGAGAAAGTGCTTTCAAAGAAGTTTCAAAGGAGAATATTTGAGGGGAGTTCTCCTGATTGTGCTGTGGGGTTCTTAACTACAAGGAAAGTGTACCTGAGTGGACTGTCTTTCATCCTTCCTCCATTCATCTCCAGCCTCCCTGGCTTCCCACCCATCCATTCATTCATCAGAGAAGATCTTGGGAGTTTATTCCTCCCAGAAACCTTCATTCAAGAAATGCTGGCCAGCCAGGGAGGCTTCACAAGGATGGGAAGAGATGGAGCTGGAAATAGCTTCACCCCATCTGCAGCTTCCTTGGCTTCTCCTGCTTCCAAGGGTTTGGGAGATGATTTCTTTCTTTCTTTCTTTCTTTCTTTCTTTCTTTCTTTCTTTCTTTCTTTCTTTCTTTCTTTCTTTCTTTCTTTCCTCCTTTCCAGAGGGAAGACAGAGAAGTTGCAGAGTTATGAAAACATAGGTAATAAGAACATAGCCACATCCTCTGCTACCTTGGACAGCCAAGAAAACCCCAGAATGTCTTTCAAAGACATTCAAAAAAGATGCTGAGAAACGAGCAGCAAAATAAAACCACACAATTTGGGGCAAGCTGGACATTGAGAGAGTTTTAGGCTGATGAATTTAATTGATCACAAAGACAGCCTATTGTTACTCCAACATACATCCTTTCCTGCCTACAGGAACCTTCTGAAAGGATACTGGGTGTTGGCGTTCAATGTGCCCCTCTCCCATTGGGGCAACAAGAAAACCAAACAGAGACCTAAATATATAAGGGGTAAAAATGACTGGATGACAAATTGGATGGGAACAAGGGAAAACAATCAAGATTCAGAGGTGATGTCAGTTGTCCTGGCTACAACTATTCAGGACAACATCAATGCAAAGGATTCACTACTCAGTTGAGTCACAGTCCTTCCGGCCAACCTACTTAACAAATCTTGATCAAGAGGGCTGGGCTCTTAAGCTGTCCTAATTGTTTGGGGGTGAAACTGGGGTAGGATGAGTGTCTCTTGACTTCAGTAATTCCCCCCCTTGTTTCTGAGAATTGGCCCTCTTGCAACACCGAGCAACTATTTCCTCCATAGCTGTGCGAGTTAATTGTCTACTCAGAATTGAATTGGCGTCATCCTGTTGGTCTGGATCCAGTTTGAACCTTATTTAGACTAGAGAAGGATTGAAATGGCTGAGGCTGAGTTGGCCACACCTTGCATTGCTCACGAGCAAAGCTGGATTCAACCTTCATGTTCAGCTAAGAGAACCAGGAGAGGACAATTTGATTGTGATTGTTGCTTGTTCACCGGAAGCTTGCAGTTTCTGTGTCATCTTCCTGATTTTGACCAGCACGTTAAGCTAAGACAAAAATCTAAATCTGCAATTCAGCCTTAGTTTTGACCATGTGGGAATCTAATATAATATGATTTCATCATGTTGTACTATGATATATCTGTGCGTGACATCCAGCCCCTAGATGTTTACAGAAACCTTGCACATTAAGACTGAATTATTTTTAAAGACTAAAACAGGCAAAAAAAAAAAAAAATCTTGTTAAGAGTTTGTCCAGGGGATGAGTAAGTATCAAGATATTTCCCACCCTGTGATTTAACATCTCTTTATGAACTTCCTTTACATTTCAAAAAATAAAAGATGGAAGTGGTGGTCCATGGGAACGAGCTACTCAGATTAAAAATTCTGCTCCGTTAAAAAAAATGTAGATCATCAATTCAATTTGCATATCTTTGTGTGGGGCCATCATGATATATTCTGTTTACACTCTTTTCATTTCTTCCTTTCTATTGTTGTAAGCCACCCCACAGTAGCCCCACAGCGAGATAGATCAGTAGATAGATAATTAAACAAACAAGCAAATAAATAGAACTGAAATGAGGAGAAAAAAACCACATCCTTGCCCTAACTTTAGATGGCGCATAGGCTTTATAGCAAAAAAAAAAAAAAAAAAAAAAAAAATGCACAAGAAGAAAGAAGTGAAAGACAGGACCATTTATTTATGTATTAAATATATACACCTCCCATCTCACAATCAAGTGTCTCTGGGCAGCTTACAACAGCATAAAAACAAGGATAAATAAACATTAAAACGTTAAAACAAACGTTAAAAACACGAACAAGACATTGGGAAATTGGACAAACTGGGAACCCGTAGACAAAGAGGGCAGGGATGGGATGTCCTTTGTTTTTTCAACAATTTTTATTTTATTCAAAGAAAAGGGAACATACAAATATTCTTAACTTTTGGGATGATTTGGCATAGATAAGATGCCATGGTAAATTTTCTGTGAGTTGCTTACAATAGGACTTTGTTAAGTTGAGGACTACTTGTATAGAGATGATAGGTCAAAGGTTTGCAACTGGATTTACTAGTTTAAAAAAAATTGGAGAGGGAGCTTTTTTGCAAGGGGTAACATTATAGAAATGTATTAATCTGTATTCAACCAAGGGGTGGGGGAATAATGTGGTACGTAAGTGTCGGGTTCTTTTTTTTTTTAAATGCACCTTTTTAATGTCTTCTATGCTTTGTGTCTTTTGTTGTTGTTTTTAAATTTCGAGGGATGGGGTGTTCTTAATCCACTAGCCAGCTATAGCATGGATCGTAACCCCCCCCCCATGACTTCTACATTAGTGCCTCTTGTAAGCTATTTCTCACTAGCAGCATTATTTACTTATTTAGCAGAAATGTTAAAAAGTGCACTGCAGTTACATTCTCCGCGAGCAAAAAGGAAACTAGCTACTCTGTCTACAGGTTTGTCCCTGGTGTTTTAAAGTGAAATCCAGGAGTCCCTGACTTGACTTGTTGAGTCGATTAAATGTTGCCACCGCGATTCTAATATGTGACGGTTTCCCGATAGATGGGCAACGAGCTGACGTTACATGAAGATTACGTGTTCCTGAAACAAGTGCAGAATTGTCGGAAACCACAGGGGGATGATGTCTCCTTTCTAGATTGCGTGAAGATTTCAGAAACCTTCCGAGAACTGATGGATTTTCCCCAAAAGGTGATAAGATTTTGTCTGTGCCTGAGTCTGACCTAAGAGCATTCTTGGGATGTTTCCTAGGATGCCTTGTTCCTTCCTTTTTCTTTTTACCTTCTGAGGGTAAAACCAATTTCAAGTGAAGTTCAGGGTAGATTAGATGACCTGGAGAAACTTCTCAATAGTTAAATATGGGTTTGTTTGTTTTAATTTGGCACATGAGTTTTTAATCCTTGCATCCCAGCCAAAGTGAGATGGCCAGCTCTATAAATCATTAAGACAATAGTTACATGGAAGAATATCCATATTGCTCTGTCCTTTTCATCCTTCCCAGGTTTTGAAGGTGAAGAGATTGGACAACCCTGTGTCTGAAATGGTCTAGGGTCTCCTGATTGAGCAGGGGGTTGGACTAGAAGACCTCCAAGTCCCTTCCAACTCTGTTATTCTATTATTCCATTAACTATTGGAAAGGAGGGACTTGGTGTTCAGTCCACCTGGAAATGTGCTGTTTAAGAAAAAGCTTGTCTGATCTGGGGAGGAAGTGGGGGGGGGAAGGATGATGCTTATGCTAAAAGAGGTGAGTGGAGAAACAAACAAACAAACAAACACTTTTGGAGGCAAAGAAAGTGACAGAGAGGCTGTGCTGTCTTCCTGGAAGTAGCATTTGCCTCTTCACACCCTAACTATACTCACACTTGAGGACTCATTCTGATAATGCAGTGAGAAATACAGGTTTTCCTGTCCCAGCAGTTTCATCATGCAAAAATGGCCATCATTTAAGAATAATCGATTAAGCAACAGTAGCTGTGGCAGAGAAAACATGAAAAGTCATGGCCCCAGGCAGGCAAAGTTTAACCCACCTCCTCTGCTGTAGGTCAACAAATGGTTCTTTATTTCGGATTAAGCTATAATTTTGTTTCCTATGGAACTAAGAGCATTGTTTTCCCTCCCCCCCTGGTATTGGAGGAGATTGGATGACCTGGAGAAACTTCTCAAGAGTTAAATGTGGGATTTTTTTTTAGCGCATGAGTTTTTAATGCTTGCCTCTCAGCCAGAGTGGCTTCTGTGAGATGGGCAGTTCTATAAATCATATAAATAAAACTATTTCTTTCTCTTCTGTAGGTTCCAGAGCAAATTGTGCCAGCTATGCAAACAGGTAAGTTTCTGCAACTTTGAAAAAGTTTTTCTCTCTCTCTCATTCTCTCTTTCTTTCTCTTTCTCTCTCTCTCCCCCCCCCTGCCCCCTCTCACATACACAGTCAGTTCGAGGCACATTGCCAAAAAGATTTTTTTAAAAAAATGCAATGAAAAAATAATGGTAGCACCTGAAAATTGGTTATGAATACTACTACATTATTGGCGGCATCTTGGTCCTAGAACAATGGAGAAAATTTCTGGAAATGCTGGCAACTCCCTAGTTGCATAATCCACACTTGGGAATTAGTTCAGTTTGACAGTGCTGTGCCGTATTTCTGAATTTTTCACCCTGTTTTTGGCGTTTCTAGAGCCTTTTTCCTTTCTAGACCATCCTACAGTCAATGAAGGGTCAACAGAGTGAGGAACCTGCTCTAGTCAATAAATTGAAAATTAAGAGATGGGTAGAACCTTTTCCAGCTCACAAATTTTATTAAAAGAGAGAAGCTTTTTCATAAATTGTGAATTAAAAATCGGATAATATCATCTCTGGCTAACAAATCAAAAGGCAGAAGCTTTCAATGACTGCTGTTTTTTTATTGCAGGTAACCCAAAGCGAGGTGCAAGCATTCACTTGGCAGGTGTGAGCACCCAGAACAAAGGTGAGAACTGGCATTTTTTTCCCTGGGCATTTGGAATTGGAGGAAGAGTTCCTATCAAGGGAAGAGACAGATAAGAGGGGATTGAGCCCAGGCCAAGAAAGTAACTTGGGAAGACAGCTCAGACAAGACTCTCCCTAGTTCACAAATGAAAGAGGGAGAAAGTACATTCACACTTGCAAAAACCTATTATAGTAGCTGAAGAGCTTTTCAAACTTGACAACTTTACGTTGTGTGGACTTCAACTTCCAGAATTCCCAAGCCAGCATGTAGCTGTCGCTTATTCAATAAAAGTGGTCCTGACTTCTAGGGCCTGGGTTTCTTAATCTGGTCTACCTTATTGAGCTGACGTGGAGTAAATGACATCTATCCTCTTCTTCCGTACAGTTCTACACTGGAAGAGTACGATCTATGCCCCAAAGGATGAGGCGTTTTCCAACTCGGATGGAAAAATCACAATTAGCAAAGAAGGGCGGTATTACATTTACGCCCAAGTCACCTTTTGCAGCAAGCCAGATCTGCGTGCCCCGTTCAATGTCCTTGTCTATCTCAACCTGCTGTTGGAGACAGACCAACTGCTCCTGAAGGGTGTGGGTACTTACAGCAACTCAGTGGACATGTGTGGCTTGCAGTCCATCTACGTGGGCCGGGCCGTGGAGCTCCAGTCAGGCTGCACAGTCTTTGTGAACGTAACGGACATCTCCCGAGTAAATTATGCCCACGGGAACACTTACTTTGGCCTTATTCAGCTCTCCTAGAAAAGGCCCTTCGTTCTGTGGCTCAACTTCTCCTGCCCTCCAACCATATTTATGAACTGTTTGGTTCTATTTCTTTTATAGATGTATTTTATTTAATTTATTAAGAAGGAGAATTATTCCAATCTGAAGGTTATCATATATAGGCAGCCCTTAGATGAGAGGAGAGCAGTGGTTCCATCTTGGAAGGCTGAGTGTGTTGCCAGTTTCAAGACGGCATCTCGTGTGGTTTCCAGGACTGTTGCTGATGGAGAAAGCTATGTGGCTCTCAATCCCAAGCGTGCTTTGCTAGAGAACTCACTGAAGGACTGTTGTCTCAATGGGGAAGCATCTGCTTCATCCAGGAGTCCAACACCAGGTCACAGTTACCTCGAAAGAGGACTACGAACTGCTTGCTCCTCGGGATCAGCCAATGTTCCCCAAGTGGATGTTCTTCAGGTGTGCTGAGATTCCAACTGCAAACATTTTTTGGCCAACCTGGCCAGCTTTGCACAACATATAAATCTTCTCATTGTTATATAATATTTTACAAAAGGCTAACATGTTAACAGAATAACAGAGTTGCAAAGGACTTTGGGGGTCTTCTAATCCAACCCCTTGCTCAGGCAAGAGACCCTATACATTCCAAATGGCTGTCCTGTCTCTTCTTAAAATCTTCCAGTGATGGAGCCCCCACAACTTCTGGAGGCAAGTCATTCCACTGAATAATTGTTCTCACTTTCAGGAAAAATCTAGGTTGCTTCTCTCTTTGGTTAGTTTCCATCCATTGCTTCTTGTCCTGCCTTCTGGTACTTTGGAGAATAGCTTGACCCCTTCTTCTTTGTGGCATCCCCTGAGATATTGGAACACTGCTTTCATGTCATCCCTGGTCCTTCTCTTCATTAAGCTAGAGATGCTCAGTTCCTGCAACTATTCTTCATACGTTGGACTCAAGGGGACAAAAACCTAGGTTCCCTAAGGTGAAGTTCTTGCTGAAATAGCCACGACATGATAAAATCTTAGGTCAGAGGGTTCCCAAATTGAACTTTCATAGCTCAAAATAATGATGTGTAGGATCAAAGATTATTGCTCCTTAGCCTTACGTGTTAAGCAAGCCACTATGGTTTAGGCAACCAGCTATAATTAATTATAAATATGGTGGTTTAGCAGAGTTGATGGAAATGAACCATGTGCACAATGAAAAGACAACACAATTCCATCTCATCCTGTTCTTAAACTGCCTGCCAAGAAGGTTGAAATAAAACATTTTCTTTTGCTGATATTATCTGTTTAAACGTCTGGTGTTTATGTGTTTTTTTAAAGGGAGCCTTTTACAATGACCTCCTTTCGTTTTTAACCAAAACTAGAATCAAGCCTCAGAGGAAAAATAACCTGACAGGCTCGCTATCGTGAAAGATCACACGTACACTTGTAAAGGCACAGCCTCTTTTCTTTTGAAAATCCTCTTTTATTTCCTTGAAAACCAAAATTTAAAAATTGCTCAAAATAAAAATATTTTAGAAAAAGGGGGCTTGATTGCATCAGTTGTTGTGGCCAGAAATAAAAACACAACAAGAGAGAAACTGAAAAGCAAAGAAGGGAACAAATAACAGAAACCTATTTACATAGAACTGTAAATATATATTTATATGTATTTATATATATATATATATGTATGTATGTATATTATCCAATCAGGTTCAAATGGCTTCTATTCCTTTAGTACAGTTGTATATTCTTCCGTTTGTTTGCTTTTAACAGCACAATCCTATACATTTTTTCTGAAAAGCTCTCTCAGTGGCCTTCTCTGAAAATCTTGCAGCCTTAATTTTCCTTAGAACAACACACACAAAACATATTAACATCTGGTGCATTTAGTGAAAGCAAAGATTGAATTCAGAGAACAGGCCAGCATTTCCTAAATTTTGGAGGCCTGGACACAGTTATTTCCTTGGCTGGAGGAAACATGACCAAGCGGAATTTATGCTCTCCAAGGAAGTCCAAAGGTTGTTATCGTTTTCTGAAGAAATTAGCAATTCTGGGGAAATCAAAAAAAAATTTTCCCTACTGGGAAAGATCTCTTTCTTACATTCCATCTTAGGGATGTCCCCTATTTTGTACCCAGAGATCCGATGGTTTCCATGACTGCCAAGAACAGATCAGCGTAACGTTCTTCCTCCTGACCACGTTGGAGCTGCTCTTTCCTGGGGGCCACCTCAAAGTTGAAGAGTGGTGGATTTGTGGATATTTATTTCAACCCACCCCGACATGCGCCAGACCACAGTTTTGGAATTGCTTAGCACACATATGGATCCAAGGTTTTGGAAGCACCTGGCTGGTAATAGTAAGGAAGCACAGAAATAAGTGAAGACACCAAGGATCATGCAGGAGGCCCCAGACAACCTTCTCAGCATTCAGTTCAGATAGACGTTCTTCCTCCCCACGGCTGAATTTAGGAAGTTTTGAGGAGAGGGGCCTCCAGGCCTGTTCTCGGAAGCTGGCGATGCTCAGTGATGCGTGGCTAATGTTTGCCACGGCCTTCAACCCCATCGCTCTTCCCAATGGTCTAGAAAAGGGAGGGGAGGTCCAACTTCGGCAACTTTAAGACCTGTGGACTTCAACTCCCAGAATTCCCCAATCAGCACAGTTGGGAGTTGAGGTTCCACAGATCTTAAGGTTATCAAGGTTGGACATCCCTGGTCTGGATGGTTTGAAGCCTTTCAAGAAGTTCCTTTATAAGATGACAACTGAACTCGAAAACCTGTCCTTTACTTTTTAAAAAAGAAGGCCTTCCAGGGGGGCAAGGACGGAAAGTGAAGCCGGCGTTAGCATTCATCCAATGGACTTCACTTTAGCGACAAAGCTAGCAGGGAAAACAGGACCTCCCAGTCCCACAAGTGGCTACTACATTCCTCTGTTTTTTCCCAAGACAGATAGTCCTCGACTTACGACCATGAGCCCCAAATTTATGTCGTTAAGCGAGACATTTGTTAAGTGAACCGCTGCCGTTGTTAAATTAGTGGTGTGGTTGTTAAGTGAATCTGGCTGATCCATTCACTTTGCTCGTCGGAAGGTCGCAAAAAGGGATCACATGACCCTCGGGACGCTGCGACCGTCGTAAATGTGAGTCAGTTGCCAAGCGTCTGAATGTTGACCTCGTGAACCTGGAGGTGCGGCAATAGGTCGTAAGTGTGAAAAAGGTCATAGGTCATTTTTTCCAGGGCCGTTGTAACTTTGAGCAGTCACTAAATGAACTGTTGTAAGTCGAGGACGCCCTATAATCAGGCTACCATGGTTAAACATAAAACCAGAATAATTGAGCCGGAAGGGACCTTGGGGGTCATCTAGTCCAACCCCCTGTTCGAGCAGGAGACCCTCTACCAAGGGGAAGAGGTGACTGTACATGGCTGCTTTGTTTGAAGACAGCGTTGAGGGATCTGAGCTACTTTGCAAGGAACCGAAAGTTGTGACTCCAGAGGACTCAAATTCCTCCAATCTGAGATCCTTTGCATACATAATATCCTCTACGGAAAGGCCACACATAGGGAATTCTCACAGTTTCAAGGAGAGGGCGGGAATTCTCGTTCTCGCTTTCCTGAAAAAAAGAAGTGCAAATCATCGTTTGGTTTTTAACTTGGTTGCCGTTCAAGAAACCAAGTTTGCTTTCCCCTCCCACTCAATAAATTAAGAAGCAGGCTTTAAAACCAAAAAGAGAACGGAAGGAACCATGGGCGTCTTGTTTTTTTTTTCCTCCTGCATTTCCTCTAAACGTTTTGCACTCAGCAACCTTCACTCTGAGTGGTGACCCATCCCTCGCCAGGAGTGTATTCTTTAGGACAAGATGCAATCTCAGAAGTCCGGGACACGTTTTTGAGACTTTTGGGAACGACTGTTTTGGAGCGAATCTTCACCGGCCATGAACAGCATGCAAAATGGGCTTTTGGGATGAGGAAAACACAGCTGGAGCTGCGGCTGGCCTTTTTTTTTTCTTTTCTTTTTTCTTTTCTGCAAGAAGAAGCAGCGAAGGGAAGAAGCGAAACAGGCGTGATCCCCATCCAAAGAGCGAGGGAGCGAGAGCGACGCGGCTGCAAACTTTCCCGAGTGGGGCTGAGGGGTCAGGCCAGCACCGAGGAACGGCGGCCCGTTTCTTCCCGGAGACTTTCGTCGGTTTGTTTCAATAACCTCCGGACCAATTTTTCTAAATCTTTCCTGGATTTCAGTTCTTCTTCCAGACATTGCTTCATTCGCTTGTTCTCCTGCAGCAGGGGAGAGAAAAAGGAGAGCCGTCTTCACCTGTTATTAAAACGCTCTCCAATTTTCCTTCCATAAATTGCATTTGCGGTGCAGGCAGTCCTCCACTTACGACTGCAATTGAAATCCCCTCCCCCCGGTCACTGTTGCCATGAGGACTAGAAACCTAAACAATTTAAAAAAAAAAAAAAACACAACCCACTGGGAAGTCAGTAGACTTGATTATGGAGCCCCCCCCCCCCCAACTGCAACCTGGCTTTCTGTTTTATTTTTTTGCAAAACCGTTTATAAAGGCTGCCCGGCCTGGTGCAGTTATTTTGGGCTACCTGCTTCAGTTCTTTGACTTCATCTTTCAGCGCATAGACGGTATCTACAAGGCTCCTAGGAAACAGCAGAAAAAGGCAAATAAAAATAAAAATAAAATAAAATAATAAAATAAAATTCATCAGCATGAGACATGAAAGATTTCCTTTCCCCCTTTTCGTTGTTAGAACTTTGCCCTGTGAGGCCATCGAGTCTTTTAACGTTTGAAAAGGATTTTCACTTTAGGCTTGTGCTTCATTTCATGGTTCTCAGCTTTCCTGTTAAACTACAGGGAGTCCTCAACTGTGACCACAATTGAGCCCAAAGTTTCTGTCGCTAAGTGAGACATTTGTTAAAGGAGCTTTGCCTCATTTTGCTACTGTAAGGACCAGGTCAACATGCACCCTTCTCCCAGCAACGAGAACAAAACAGGAGGTGGAGGGTGGAGGACAATCCGTTGGCACCTACAAGGGTGACGCCATCTTGCCTACATGGGATCCCGTTGTGTCTCTGGCCCCCCTTCATGACAGATGCTGAGGTGGGTCACCTCTGCCCTAGAAGACTTCCCAAGAAGCACAACGTTGCTTTGGTCATCAGCAGAAGACTCAATAGGAGGAATGGAAGCTCTCCAAGCAATCTCCAGGCCGCATGGAGACGGGAGGAGAACTTCCCCCACGAGGTTCGGCTGCAGCTTTTTCAAAGTAGGCTCAGACCCCCACCAGCCCCTGGCGCCACTCACTTCTCCTCTGCCACGGTCTGCCCGTTGCTCCGCACTTCCTCAGTGATTAGTTTCTCCTCCTCTGGAAGTAGAACCTGGGGGACTGAATCTTTGCGGGACCCTGAGGACGAGAGTGGACAATTCAGGGAACGGTGGCTTCTCTTGGTGAACCGAGAACCGAGACGTTGGTCCAGCTCAATCTGGGATGCAATTTTGCCCCCGAGAGGCTGATGCCAGCTTGGGCTAGTGGTGAAGGCACCAGGGTGGAGATTGGGAGATGGTGAGTTCTAGTCTCACCTTAGGCATGAAAGCTGGCTGGGTGACTGTGGGCCAATCACCAGGAGATGGAGAGTTCTAATCCCGCCTTAGGCAGAAAAGATGGTTGAGTGATTTGGGGCCAGTCACCATGAGACGGTGAGTTCTCTTCCTGCCTTAGCACGAAAGCCAGTTGGGTGACTTTGGGAATTCTAGTTCCACCTTTGGCATCATAGGAGGCTGACTGACCCTCGGCCAACCACTGGCAGACATGAGTTCTAATCCTGCCTTAGCATGAAAGTCAGCTGGATGACTTTGGGAGTTCTAGTCCCACCTTCAGCACAAAAGACTGTTGAGTGACTTTCCCCAGGAGACGGTGAGTTCTAGTCCTGCCTTAGCCATGAAAGTCAGCTGGGTGACTTTGGCCTAGTCTCTCTCCCTCAGCCCAACCCACCTCAGAGGGTTGTTGTTATGGAGTAAATAGGAGGAATAACGTGTGTGGGATATGTTCCCCGCCTTGAGTTATTGTAAAAATAATAACAGGGGGGAGATATAAATAAGCAAATGGAATAAAATGTCACAGATAACCTGCAACTCCCCCAGGCTGAGCTAAGCCCGAGGCAACGAAACAGCAGCCCCCCCCCGCCACCTCCTACCCCACCCCCAGACGCACTGATTTATCGCTGCCACCCCAGTCCCGCTGATAAGGGACTTGTGTTTCCACTCGTGGCTTCGGAAGAAGTGAAAAAAATTAAAATAAAATCAAAAAGTGCCAGGCAGCTGGGTTTTTTTTTCTGAGGCGCGCAGCAGATCGGACGATAAAAGCACCCCGAGTGATGGGTGTCTTGGGAGATTAGCATCTCAGTGGGTTGGGAGGGCAGAAGGAACCGGGGTCAAAAGCGTTGCGTTGCAGTTTGATCTTGATTTCCTTTCCCTTCATCTCTGTTTCAAAAGTCAGCTTTATTTCAAAGGCTCGGGGTTTGACTCATCCGCACCAGGCGGATTGTTCTGTTCCTTTCTGAGAGGAGAAAGCAGTTGCCGCAACAGAGGCAGTCCTCGACTTACGACCGCAATCCGGCCCAAGATTGATGCTGCTAAGTGAGGCATTGGTTAAGGAAGTTTTGCCCCATGTTACGACTTTTCTCGCCATTTCAACCCCAAGTTACAAATATTTTCCTTTATTGGTGAAAGAGAATGAACAGAGGTGAAATGAGTTTTTCTGCTTCTGCCTCCCTTGGCCTGAGAGAAAGGTTGGAAGAGTCTAAATCCGTGTTTCTCTACCTTAGCAACTTTAAGATGGGTGGACTTCAGTTCCAGATTTCCCCAGCCAGCACAGCTCTGAAAAAGTGGTGAAAGAAATCAGAGCTTCCTCTGATTTCAGACACCAGGGAGGGGTCCTCTGCTTGACTTGGCCCAAGGCATCAGCCGTCTCTTGAACCCCTGGGAGCAACCTGGTTTGGCTTCAATCCACTGACCTGAAGTGATGTTCTGCTGCAAACTCGCCCCTGCACAATACGCCTCAATCACCTTCAGGATCTGAGCGTCCTCCTCTAAAGCTGCTGTGCCTGAAAAGCAAAGGAATGTAAGGACAGGCTCTGGATTTACTCCAGAGCAGGGAGTCTCCAAACTGGGCAACTGTAAGATTTGTGGACTTCAACTTCCAGAATCCCTCAGCCAGCATGGAGTTGAAGTCCACAAGTCTTGAAGTTGCTCAGTTTGAAGATCCCCGCTTTATATCCTCAATTTTGCTAGAAAATTTGCTAGACAAATGACTTTGTCTTGTGTTCAGTGAGGCACCCTTATTAGCCTGTATTTGAGTCTTGAGTCCTTCAAGCTGAACAGATTTATGTGTGAGGCAATCGGCCACTAATTAATTATTGACTAGAGAGTGGTCATTGTCTATTGATACTCTTCACTGGGTCTTATTGTTATCTACTGTCCTCTGTCCTTTCCCCACAATAGATCTGGGGTCTCCTTCACATTCCTTTTGCAAGAGTGCAGGCAAGACCTTTGATGAAGGTCCACAAAAGCTTCTAAGATAATAAACTGTTGTCACATTTTCACTCCTCGCTTTCTTTATTTACTTATCATTTTAAGGCTATCCTCTGTGTGTCCTTCTGATGACTTTTGTTAGACTCATTAAAGGCCATCAACAGCATCCCTGCTTGATGCAGGATCCTTCCCAGATGGTGGTCCAGCTGCTGACTGAATGCATCCATTGGAAGAGAATCCATAATCTCTTTGGGTTCTCTTGGTCCTACTGTCTGGTTGCTTAACCAGTTTGGATGGAAGACTCAGATTTGCACTTGTAATTTCTATGTCTTGCCTGCAGGACCCTTGAAGAGGCTATTGCATCTCCCTGAAGTCACCTTCTCTTCAGCTAACAAGGTCCCTCCTTGCAGAGCTCCTCCTGGTCTTTCTCCTTGCCCTTTTATGGACCTCCCCCATTGCAATTTGTCTAACCTTAAACTGGATCCAGGACTTGAAGTGGGGCTGGACTAATAGAAGATAGACTGGAAATATTAATCCTCCTGATTTTGTAATTAAACTAAACTCTTCAGGGATGCTTTTCCTGGGAGACAAGCTTGTTTCTCTTCTTTTAGCAGAGACGCACAACTTCATAAAATACTATAGAAGGAGACTGTCATTTTAACCATGGATATCATGGATAAACATCAGGGTGTTCTACCTTACAACATCATTAAGACAATCAATTTCAGAAAGGAACCACAAAGCCAACCTACTTTTTCTAATGACAAACTCCTCGTCCGATGGCTTTCTCTCTGTTTTCCTTTTGGGCAGGAACTTTTTCATCGTCTTTGGACTCTTGCTGGCATCCTGTAGAGACAAAGCCATCGATTAGGGTTATGTCCTGGCTGAAGGAATCTCCACTCATGATGCATCTAAGCTTCAGCTGATTAACCAAGAACTGAACTCAAAGATTTGTGAGTTTGCAGAGTAAGTACCCAAGGGCTGAGCAATTGTATTGATAGGTGACATGTTTGGGCACATTATACAAGGCAGATTGGACTAATCTGGTAGTCATGAATTGTGTTAGCCCACAACTCTCAACGTCCTTCTTCTGAGCCATTAGCCCAGCTACCAACAAGAGGGACGTTGCATCTTTTCCAGGTAAGGTGGTGGGTGATTGATCATCCCATAAATGGTGTGCCTTGAACTCTAGCATGGAAGGTCTAGCAAGTAAATATTTGTGAAAGGATTTAGAGCTGAACTTATCAGTCAGCCACTGAGGAGGGATTTAGATGAGAGCTTACTGTACGCAGTCCTGAGATAGAAAGACATATGAGAAAGAAACTCAAAGTAATCCTCCCTTGATGTCGTGTAGTATAAAACAGGACAGAGAGAAACTGGGACAGACTTCAAAGATCAGGTCAAGAAAGAGACCCTGTAGGAATTCTGGGAACACTCTTTATTATAGTAAAGTGGAACTTCAGCCATCTTGAAAGCCCCATCTTAGGGTATAAAAAAAAATAAATCAAGGGGGCTTATTTTGAGTTCCTTTCTCAAACCTCCTTCCACTTCTGAATTTTGTAATCTCTTGTCCAAGTCTCTCCTTGTGCCAAATTCTCCCCCTCTGATGGCTCACTCCCACCTTCTCCAAGTCCTCTCTAAATTCCTTTACAGAATGCCACCCATAAGCCACCACCAGGACTGGTGCTGTGCAAGCACAATCGGTTGTCCAAACAATAAACCCTGAGTCAGAGACCGCTAAAGCATTTCTCCGTTGCACGACTGAGTAAACGTTCGTGTAGCCAGACTGTGCAAACAAACAGCACTGAGATGAGTTTTGGGAAAATATGACTTCAAACCCAGGGCAGAATCTTGTCGCTGGGGGAAAACCCTGCTTGTTCACTAAAACACATCGATGTGTTGCAAGGGAACATGATGCAGAGAGGTTTCTGGCCTTACCTTTAAGATGTAGGACATCCGCTGGGAAGGAGCATGAAAGAAAGAGAAGGTGAGCATGAAAATACGAACGGGGCCATTAAAGGCGCACTTTAAAACTACGACATTCCTAATGAAGTAAATCACAGGATATTTAGGCTTTGTTCTCCTCTTTTTTGAACCCAAAGAGGAATCTTTTGGCTACACAGATAGTCTTCAGCTTATGACCATGACTGAGCCCAAAACATATGTTGTTAAGTGAGACAGCTCTTAAGTGAATTTTGCCCCATTTTATGACCTTTCTTGCTGCAGCTGTTAAGCGAATCACGGCAGCTGTTAAATTAGTAACATGGTTGTTAAGTGAATCTGGCCTCCCCATTGGCTTTGTCAGGCGGTCGCCAAAAGGGATCACGTGACCCCGGGACATTGCGACCGTCATAGTTATGAGTCAGTTGCTAAGTGTCTGAATTTTGACCATGTGACCATGGGGAGGCTGAAACGGCCATGCCACTTTTTTCAGTGCCGTTGTAAGTTAGCTTTGAATGGTCACTAAATGAACTTTTGTTAAGTTGAGGACTACCTATATTGTTCTGTGCGAGGCAGTGGGTTGGGGGTCTCCTATACAAAGACCCCATTCTTCCTGCTTCCTCTTCATAACAGGAGAAGAGCCCTACCTTTTCTCAAAAGGTTAGGTAACTAATCCAAGTTTTGTCACATTAATGATCAGAATCTGCCTTACCCCCATGGATTTTTGTGGGGAGCAATGGGCTGGGACCCCCAAAAATCAGATTTGTAACTGCACTTTCAGGATCCTTCTGGGAAGTTCTCATCTCTTCCAACAATCCTGCCTAACCTAACACTTAAGTGGCTTTCAGAGGTTGATCTCAATGGGTTCCAAGTCTTCACATTGACTTCCTTCAGAGAAGACCTTCTTGAGAAGATCATCTCCAGAAATCCATGGAGGACCAGAACTAAAATAGTTGAGTGGAATGCGAGAATTGTCAGTGGGGTGGTGGAATAAAGGTATTTCCCCCTCCAGTGATAAGCAGCAGGTGAAAGAAGGTACCAAACCTGTGATACAAGAGAAATAAATCTCATCTTGGTTTGATTTGTGCAGAAAATGAGTCACAAAAGCAAAAAAATGGGTGAGGGAAGGTGATTTTGTCTAAAATTACGGGGTTCTGGGTGTGTGATACAAGTTTCCTCACTGATGCAAATAACTTCTCACCCCCGTTTCCTGTGGGCCCAAATTTGCATAGTGTTGTTTGACAATGCATGGATTTATGACAATTGAATGGAAGAGAAGAATGTGCTGGCTCCATAATGAATCTGAAGCACAAATTTTAAAAGCGGTTTTACTGATAGGGATCCCAGTTTCTGTGAGATTTTAAAAAAAAACCAAGTCAAAAGGTGCTGATGAAAGATTTGAAACTGGAGGTTCAAATGAGCAAAATTGCAGCTCTTGAGGGACTGAATAGGAAGCTTGGATGGGATGGGGAATTTGCAGTGTGTCTGAAAATCTTCCTCCCCTAAAAATACGACTCTGGAATGGAAATGAATCTTTATTTAACTTCTAACCTCTTTCTGTCCAGAAAAAAAAAAACAGGAGGAAATAAAATCTCTAAAATCATTGAGCAAACAAGCTGAGAATAAATTCTTTTAAGTCTATCAATTAAACAGAACAAGACCAACAATTAATTGGCCAACCAATCTGCAAAATTTATTTCTAAATGGGGATGAGTATGGCAGCTGAGAGAAGGACCACAACGAGGGGGTGAACGAGGTTTCCTTCTGGCAGGGAGCACCAAAACTTGCAAGCTAAGCCCAGCTTCCTACATTCCACTCAACTGTGTGGGAACGTGTGGCTCTCCGTAGCTGTGTTTCTACCCGTGTGACATCCTGCTGCTCAACCTGGAATGTGTTGTCACAGAGTTAAGGACTACGACTTCACATTGCCATGAGCAAAGAGACACACTCATGCAAAGGCCATAGGACATTACCTCTTTATAGCTGAGAGCCACCGATGGCCTGAGAGGAGGTGCTGGGCGGAGGCAACTCAAGGTCCAGGGTTTGAGGATCTGGGGTGGTTCCAGTGGGCCACGGAATTGTCCAGTAGAGCTAAAAGTCTGATGAAAAAAACCAACAACAGCAGTTCACTGAATTCCTTGCTTTCAACCTGCCTGATCACCTCAGAGCTCCTCTAAGTGACAATTAAATCAGCCCTTATAACAGGTGAAGAACATTTGGTCCATGGATTTTTCAGGCAGCCATGCGGAACCCTGTTGGTGGCTTCCCAGCAACTTTGGATCAAACCACCACAAAACAACCAATTTTGGGCAATGCAAACATTCTATTCCCACCCACCCCCCAAAAAAGATGGTTTGAAATGGAAGCAGTAGGACCTTGAAGTGTTGCAGCTGGAAAATAGTGAATTGTGTGACCCTAATCCTAGAGAGAAGGTGGGGCCTCCTTGAAAGAAAGGAAAGAAAGGAAGCAGGACAATTTTTTTTTCTCGTATTGTCCCCTAAGATCAGGGTCAAGGTGGATTTGGGGCCCGTGGGCATGGCCTGCAAGGAAGAGGTTTCCACACTTGCTTGGTATCTCAGCTTGAGTTAGTTTGGGAGTTACTTACAGAATGGGAACCCCAAGATTGGGTTTTCGAGAGGGTACCACTGAAAGTGGTTCCTCTGGTCAACCTCTGCAGGTGGTCAAGCCATTCGTGGAAATCGTGGCTGCTACTGCAGTGTACCGTGAGCCGGTCTCCCATGCTTCCTGCGAGATGGAAGACAAACCAGATTACTCGACTGAAGAATGGTTCAGAGCGTGTGACAGAAAGAATGAATGAAAAATGATTTTTTTTATAGGTGGCTTCCTGGGATGAGCCTGCCCTTCACCAATCTTCGAATGTTCCAGATGGTTTAGATTTTATTTCCCCGAATTGCCTCGGGACCCATAGAAATTCTCAAAATTATAGCTGTGGGTCACTGAACAGGGACCAGGTTAGGAAGACGTTATCAGATAAATCAGGGATGATAAAGCTAGAAGGGTCTCAAGGTGGTTAGATGCCACCTCCAAGTGTGGAAGTAGTTCACTGCTGAGTCTCAGCTTCTGTGAAGCAACAAAGGTGGACTAATGTTATCTTCACATCCTGTTTGTGAACTTCTCCAAGGTATCCAATTGCCACTTGGAAAGGAAGAACTCTGGACCAGAAGAGACTTTGATCAGAACACAATCCTCATCAGCCGTGAGTTTATAAATCAGGGTTTCTCAATCTTGGCAACTCAAAGACGTGTGGATTTCAACTCCCAGAATTCCCTTGCCAGCATGGCTGTCTGGGGAATTCTGGGAATTGAAGTCCACACATGTTAGAGTTGCTAAGGCTGAAAAACATGGCTGACTGGCCTGGCACAGCTGTGTCCCCTTTAGCTTTTTGTCCTTCATCAATTGCTTCATCAAAAAGCTCAATCAATCAATCTCAGCACTCTAAAGATGGTTGAATGAAATTTTATAGGGGACTAATCACATTTATTAAGCATAAATAACATGATTGATTATGAATAGATTCTCTTGGACACTCATCAGTTTCTAATCTTAAGTTTGATAAGTACTGGTTTGTACCCAACACGGGATTAACTGATAAAGTTCATCTAAGTTGCTGAAAGAACACCGACCTGAGATTTCAAAAACGTGATCACTTCCTTCCAGATCTTCTAACTTGGTCACCATCATTCCTATTAAGGGGAGTCTCCCCTGCTCCCCAGGAGAAAAAAACATGAGATGAAAATTATTCTGAGCAATCTTGAGCACTATTCTTGCAATGTGAAAATGACAGACTGCTCGGCCAATTAAAAAAAAAAGCATGGTGATTTTTAGTTTAAACCTGCACCATACCCCAAACTAGAAATTTCAGATGGGATATTTTCATGACTGGGGCAGAAACATCTCTTATTTGGGGGGGGGGGCAGCAGTGGGCTTTACTTTGAAAAAAACCCCACTTAATTCTTGCAATTACACATGTACCCCACTTACCTTGTACATGAATCCACTCATGCAAGGACTGGCTGAGAGCATCAGCAGAACACTTGGAAAAAGCATGAGGTACCGTTCTTCTTTCTCCTGGGATAAAGCAAGAAAAGCACGATGCGTGAAGAATTGTGGAGAGCACAGTTCCCTGCAGTTCCCCCTATTGTCTGATGCTCATTACATCACAGTGTGTGATAACCGTGAGTGGAAACCTTTTCAGATAGAGCTTCTGTAGGCCCTACGTGGGCTGAACCAAGGACAATGGAATACAATGAAAAGAGCATCTGGTCCTCACAGTTTGCTCTGCTTACCACCATCACCACCCATCTCACCTCATTCCCTCCAGGTTGGACCATGGCTTGGGACATATAAAGGACGCTGCCCATGGATCGGATGTCTTCTCCTTCCCAACCTTGGATGGTTTCTGAAAGGATCTGTAGTTCCAGTTGCTTCCTCTTTCTCATCTCTTGGCACTGGGACTGTCAACGAAGCTTGGATTACAAGGCGGATCGTAGAAAGGGAGAGAGGCAGACCAAGGCCAGTGGTTTTATGTATTGGGGAAAGGGCTGCTGTGTCATGGCGTACAAGACCACAAATACATGTCTAAATATGTATACACGTCTTACAACTGGTTCTCGCACGTATGACCGTCACAGAATCCCCATAGTCCCATGATCAAAATTTGGATGCTTGGCAACTGGCGTATATTTGTGACAGTGTCCAGAGGTTGAATCCCTGCCATTTGCAACTCCCAGCCAGCTCCCAACAAGCAAAGTCAATGTAAGAAGCCAGATTTGTTGAATAACCCTGTGATCTGCTTAACAACGGTGGCCAAAGGTCATTAACTTGGACCTGATTCACTTAACAGCTGCCATGCTTAGCCACGGAGATTCCGGTTCCAATTGCAGTCAAGGACTAGCTACATATGTATTTGAATATTATTTCAAATCTATGCTATAATTTTCATGAGTTCTGATTATCAGGGAAAGCATCAGATAAGAGCTGTGGCTTCCCCTATGCTTCCGTTTCAATTATTATTTTGTTTATCCTGCTTTAACAAATACTTTTTCTTCCCTCCTTTCCGGCCTCAGTTCTTCCTCTCCCACCCAAAAATGTTGCTTCTTTTCTGAGGAGGAAAAAAAAGCTGATTATTGTACCTTCTGTGTTATAAGAAGAAAAAACAACAGAGGCAATAAAATAAAATCACTTTCTCAAAAAAAAAAAAAATTACATTTGAAACTTTGCTTGGGACAACAGCGCCTCCTTGAGGACTATTTAACTGCTGCTCGGAGACCTACCACAAGAGACTTGAAGGACGCTATGGCTTTCAAAATGTCTTCGTGATCAGGGTGTGCCTCCTAGGGGGAAAAGTGGATAAATTAGACAAAGAGAAGCTGTGTTTCCCTTCCCAAAATACTAGAACCAGAGGGAACGATGGTTAGAAGGGTCTTAGTGCAATAAATGACGTACAGAGATACAAACTGGGTCATCGCTTTTAGGAAACGATGAGAAGGAAGAACTTCCTTCAGATGCGGAACAAGATGCGCTCCTGGAACTGTGCCTATTATGGTCAAGGATGGTTCACCTGCTCGTTTGGGTAGCGTGAACTGAAGGAAAGACACTTTGCTCTTTCTTTCAGGGGGGGAAAGGTCTGGATTAGCTCCACCCTTGTACCTTGCTTCTTGCTCCCTTTGGACCATCACAAGGGTTGGGCAAACCATCAATTTGCAAGGGGTCCAAGAGTGGTTTAAAGAAAGAGGCTCCTTTCAGGAGCTCACCTACTAGGATGTAGACCTAGGAAGACCCTTGATGACCATAGAGAATCATGGCGAAAAGCCAAAACAGCTCTCAGAAGAAGAATCGGTCATTGAATAATGGTGGAACCAACCAATAGGGATGAGTAGTCTTTCCTGAAAGCTTACCTCCATGTGCCTCTCAAGTTCCTGCAGGAGGGAAATGTATTTGTCCAACCGTGTGAACGGTTTGCTGAGGCTCGTGGTCAAGGTCAGTATCCCAGAGCAGGCCATCCCTTGGCTCTCCATGAACTTCTCCAGTTCATCGCTGGAAGAGAAGCACCCGTGAGGAGAGAGAAGCAGACCAACTCCCTGGGCAGGGTTGGGTGCGTCCTTAGTTTTACCTGTGTTGGGTCAAGACGTTGACCGCAGATGGGTGGTTAGTGCAGTAGGTGAGGTACAGGGACGCAAACTGGGGCATCAGGCTCAGGAAACAGCCCCCCACTTTCTGTTGGTGTTCGGGAAGCCTGTAGGAGATACACGCAGGAGGAAGACAGAATAAACCAAGTGGTTGGTTGGCATTTAAAACGTTAGCTCTGCCTCAGCCAGGAGGAACAGGGACTGAGGGAAAATAACTTTCCTGGGCTGCTCCAAGGTGGAGAAGGGACATTTATGCAGAGAGATGTATTGTCTGTCCCAATATATGCCGGCCGAGCTCAATTTACAACAATTCATTTAATGACCGCACTGAAAAAAGTGACTTACACCCGTTGCAGCATCTCCGGGCTCATATGATCAAAATTCATAGGCTTGGCAACTGACTCATATTTGTGGCGGTTGCAGCGTGTTTCCCCCCTTTTACAACCTTCTGCCAAGCCACTGCAGTGATTTATTTAACAACTAGCAAGAAAGGTCATAATACAGGGCAAAACTCACTTGATGTCTTGCTTAGCAACAGAAATGTTGAGCTCAGTTGTGGTCATAAATTGAGGACCACCTGTACGGCTTACAACAGCAACAGCACCATAAAACACAAAATGTTTTGTCCAAAACAAGAGTGTGGAGAAAATCCATGAAGTAACTTAAGGGTCTCACAGCCTACCTGGAGCCTCCTTGTGATAGACTCCCCCCCTCAGCCCCCCAGGAGAAGATTTTAAATAAGAAGATTGTCCATTGAGAAGACATTCAGGACTTACTTAGCACATTCTTCCAGGACCTGGCTGAGTGTCTGTTGAAAGTTGCAGATCTCTTCCACGTTTCCAAGCAAAGATGCTATATCAATAGCGCTCAGCCTAGAAATATGCATATCATGAAAAGGTAATAGATCTAATATCTCAGGGGCTGTCACAAAGCGGGGGGGAGGGTCAAGCTATTCTCCAAAGCACTTGAAGGCAGGACAAGAAGCAACAGATGGAAACTCATTAAGGTGAGAAGCAACCTGGAACTAAGGAGAAATTTCCTGACAGTGAAAAACGATTAACCAGTGGAACTACTTGCCTCCAGAAATTGTGGGTGCTCCATCACTGGAAGATTTTAAGATGAGATTGGACAGCCATTTGTCTGAAATATTATAGGATTTCCTGCTTGTGCAGGGGATTGGACTAGAATACCTCTAAGGTCACTTCCAATTTTACTATTCTATTACAATCCTCAATGGGGAAAGAAAATTTTGGCTCCAGAGGCATGTTGGAAGTTGAAAGTGGTCTTCATTCCATTGTAATGACCACTCTCCAGGTTCTTATCACAAATATTCTATTCCTTAGTTGTCCTAACTACTATTATGCCCTTGAGTGTGGATCTTTCCTTAGAGAAGCAAAGCAAAAGACCATCCCCATCAATTAAAAAGGCATTCAAAACAGTCAGTATTCAAAGACAGGCTATAGAGTTGGAAGACTTAGTCATCAATGAGGATGAGGATGACAACAACAACAATAATAATAAAATTGGAAGGGACCTTGAAGGTCATCTAGTCCAACCCCCTGCTCAGGCAGGAAACCCTATACCATTTCAGACAAATGGCTGTCCAATCTCTTCTTAAAAACCTCCAGTGTTGGAGCATTCACTGCTTCTGGAGGCAGGTTGTTCCACTGATTAATTGTTCTAATTGTCAGGAAATTTCTCCTTAGTTCTAGGATTTGAGAAGTTGCATCTGTCCTCCTCCACATTAATGGAGATCATCTCAAATAATCTTACTTACTTGTCATAAGACTGGAGAGACTTCAAGTACGTTCCTAGAAGTGACTGCAGTTCCTTAGCATATTCTCGCTCCGTTTCCAAAATATTCTGAAGCACCTGTAGCAGTTGATGATAAGCAGGAGATGTAAAGGATGTTAGGAATGATCCAAATGTATCTTGCCTAGGAATGATGGAATCTGTGAACATACTGTGTGTTTATCAACATGGCTAGGCTCACGAGTATGAAATTCTTCTAATCTCGTGTTTACGGATAAGGATGCTGTTAGTGCCAAAAATAAAGTCTCCCTTGAGTCAGCTCAGCTGCTGGTGACTTCATCTAAATATCTGTGTAGTTTCTTGGCAACAGTTACAAGTGGTTTATCATTTTATGCTTCCAAGATATGGTTTTCAACATCTCAATTTAGCTTACAGTCTTGAATCTCCAAACATAGACCAAACCTAACTTTGGTTGGGTGTAGCTTTTTGAAAGAAAAGTTGACTTGAGGTCAACTTCTGTTGTTTATGTTGTTTTCTGGGCAACCATGTAGACAGGAGAAATATTGGAAAATACTGATAAGTAATGAAGCCCCAGGCTTCATGTTTGATAGCCCTGAGGGGCTTCCACGTGCCAGGTTTATAATCACTGGAATCAGTCAGAGAAATACTGATTTCCCCTAAATGTAGACCTCTGTCCTTCATCATTTGGAATCCACCTGTGTTATGCGAGGACAAAAATTAAGCACAAGAATGTTATGCTACCCCAGAAGACTGTCATTGCAATTCTCTTCTCCTTTGGAAGAAAATAGCTACTTATCTCTTCCACCAAAGTAAATGAGTAAGACCTAGCCAAAAAAGAGGCAGAAGAATTCTTCGGTGTAGGATGATTAAAAATGGCAGAAAAGTTGACTTCCCCCCCCCCCCGATAAAAAAACCAAACATCTAGAATGTTAAGAGCACAAGAGGGAGCTGTCTTAAAAATATTTTTTTTTTCTCCTTGCTAATAGTAAGTCCTTTCCTAACAACACCCTGCAGGAATGCATTTAGCCTCTGACATCCATGCTGGCACGAACACCCACATGCCAGGGTCCTAATGTCAAAGAAGGAAGATCTGGGGATAAAACAGAAATCTCTTCTCCATTTCAATTGAAAGTGGACCACCTACACTCAAAATGGGAATCAACATTAGAAGAGACACTTCTTGGAGAGGCCAATGCATGTCCATGTTCTGGCTCTTAACTGCAACATAGCTTCAATAAATTAAAAAGCAGGAGGCTCAGCTATGATAAGGTAGTTCCTTCCTTAACTTAGAAAACTGACATTGAGAAGAGCTGTCTAGAATTCAGGTAACAAACATAACCAGGGCAGATCTTGTAGCCCCATTGCTCAACAGGTGTTTAGCTTAAACTTGGCTTGATTTTTTTATGACTTCATGTGATGTTATAGTTTTTTTAAAATAGTTCACCAGGATAGATATACAGGCATCCTTTTGGAATAATAGAGACTTCACAGGCTTACCACAGCATAGTAATTCTTGGTAAGTTGAGGACTTTCAGCCCCTTTCAAAGCCTTAGGAGAGAGCAGTTTATCTGGAGGAGAAACAGAAGGAATTGTTAGAGAGAAGTGATCTTATGTTGCCAAAAGAGGACATAGAGGGCACCTACAGGTGTGTAATGGTAGAGGTGGAGCTTCTGAACAGGTATGAAGAACACCCACTTGCCTGGAGCAACCTTCCCTAACCTGGGGTGATGAACCACAGCTAAAAGTCTCACTCCAAATGAGCATGAGGTATGGCTCTGGAAGTGGTGGATGGCATTAACTACTCTAGAAGCAGATAGATGCAGGGAATAAGTTAGGCATTTGTGCCCCAACTGGGACTGAGCTTAAAAACTCTAATTATCTGACCAAGCAATGCCCTTCCTTCCTTCCTTCCTTCCTTCCTTCCTTCCTTCCTTCCTTCCTTCCTTCCTTCCTTCCTTCCTTCCTTCCTTCCTTCCTTCCATAACTTTTCATTGCTATTGTTGTTTTACCCATTACTGCCACAAATCTTGGCTTACAATCTCCTTTGCTGGTGAAACCCTGAACATTTCAATTTAGAACCAACGTGAGCAATGGGTCTCTTCCCCTGGGGAAATTACAGCCTCAGTTTAGAAACCTATTATAAGCGAAGAATGCTGTGCCAAGGCAGAGGGAAGGCTCCCTACACAATTGTTGGCTTTCCTGAAATGGCAGCGCTACCCCTGAATAGATCTGAAAGTTCTTCACTGAGGTAGGTTTTCTAGCAAACTCTGAAGACATGCACAAGCGAGGAGGGCCAAGGGCCAAGACCTCATGATGTCCCAGCACCAGGAGAAATGATCGTGGAACAAATGAAACCTCTTCCTGGAGACAGAACTCAATTTCAGAGAAAGGATCAGAGTTCCACCCTGGTGTGTGACTCAGTTGACCACAGGGCAAAACCCTAAGGAATGTCCATACAATCTTACTTTGTCATCGTCATTTGTAAAACCAAAACTGACTTTTTCTTCCTTTAGAGGAAGAGGAACAGGCAGCATTTCCACTCCTCACCAGGAGAGATTGAAAACACAAAACATTGCTGTGGTGGAGGGATTGGAGCAATAAAGAAAGGAGGAGGGGAGGAGGAGAAGGAGAAAGGAAAGGAGGAGAAGAAAAAGGAGAAGGACAAACAAAAGGAGAAGAAATAAAAGGAGAAGGAGAAGGAGTAAGGGGAGGAGACTGAAGCAGAGGTGGAGCTAAAGGTGGAGGAGAAGAAAGAGAAGGCTTTTTTCACAATGCAGAATGAATCTACAGCACATAAAGCTACCTATGTTAAGAATGAGCAACTCATATAGGCTGCTGTGTACTTTTTAGCAGACCTCACAAATCTATCTGGGCATGGAAAACAAAAATATCCAAGCAAATGCCATCACAACAACACACATGAATGTAAACCTCCACAATGATAGGAATGATAACACCAAATGTCTTACCGGAGGATTTAATTTCTCTGACGTAGTTGCTGGGGAACCAACCCGTCTTTCCATTAAGGGTCCCTTCCCACCAGCCCCCTTCCTCAGTGCGGGTGACATAAATGATGTCCCCCTTGTTGATGGTCAGCTCGTCTTCGTTGGTCTGCTTGAACTGGAACCGAGCCTTGACCACCAGCTGGTGACTGCCGTTTTCGGTCATCTCCTAAACACAAAGTGAGATCAGGAGGACGATTGGTCCCAGAAGAGAAAGATTAAAGAATGGTGCTGGGAAGAGGTGAGAGACGGAATCACCCAGGCAACTTTGTTAGGAAGAAGCAGAAGAAAGATGCTTTGTTGGGTCAACTGATGTCAGGAACGCTGAAAATATGAAGCCTACAGCTTCTCCAAAAGAGCTGGGTTTGAACTAGGAAATTCCTCCTTTACCATATAGTTGTACAACTATTCTGCTGTGCCAGGTTAACACCAGGCCTTGGACCCTTGCTCGCTAGTTCCTGTGCTGGATGGCTTATTATTCTTGAGTTGGCATGCCGTGGCAAGGCCAGCCGCTAAGAAGGAATAGGTCAGGAGAAGAGGGATTTAAAAAAAAAACAACCCCACAGAGAATAGACAAATCCAGCTCAAATCTAAACTATGATGAATTTCAGTTAAAATAACATTGCATTAATTAAATCCAATTCCTAAGCCGTTTCTTGCACATCCCCTGCGATGGCAGGAAAGACCTGGGAAGGCCACAGACCCAAGGTAGTGAAGGAAGGTACAAACTGGGTGTCCCTGCTCTGGGTGGGATCACGTTGAAACATACCCCGACTCTTGACTGTCTCTGCAACACTCTTGATGGCCGAGCTGAGGCGGCTTGGGTCAGGGGCTGGCAGTCACCGGGGGCTGGAGAAGGCAGCTGAGAACATGGCTTCCTGGTAGAACTTCCTGGATCTGTTAAAAAGGAGAAGAGGTCAAAAACGGAAGGAAATAACCCCTGCTGGGTTGAGGCTAGAAAAAGAGCTGCAATGGGTCAAATGAAAGCCTGCATCCTTTGCAACCCAACTGAAAACTCCCTGAGGAACGTTTCTCAACTTTAACCATCTTAAGGTGGGTGGATGTCAGCTCCCAGAATTCCCCAGCCAGTAGATCATAGTTAAACAGGGCTTGATTCCTGGACCACAATCTCACACCAGGGTCTTCCTAAAGGGGGAACGAACGAACCTTGTCCCGCGAGCTTCTCTTTGGACCTCCTCTCTGCCTTTGCGAATTGGTTTTGTTCTGTTGCTTGCTGGCTTTTGTTGGTGGAACTGAGGGTGGCTGCCTTCGGGGGAAGTGTGGGGTGGAGCCTCACCGGCTGTTGTGGGACCATTTGTTGGGGCTTTTAACAGAGCAATACTGCTTCCACCTAGGCGACCTGGGTCATAGCACTGGGACTGAGAAAAAGCTCCCTGGCCAGCCTTCGGAAGAGAAAGTGGGTTGCTAAGTAGAACAGCTTTCAGCATCATATGGCGAGCCATTTCGGAAGGAGGAAAGTGTGGGTGGCTTATAAGTGTGGCATCCAAGCACCATCCTCTCCGTCAACCAGCTGGTGTCACAGATTGTGTGAGTTGGAGAGGTATCTAGTCCAGCCCTGTTCCGGGCAGGAATTCACTAAAGCAGCGTTTCTCAATTTTAACCATTTTAAGATAGGTGGTCCATCTATCCACCCGTCCGTCTGTCTGTTTGTCCATCTGTCCATCCATCCATGTATCTGACTCCCTCCTCCCATCCATGTTATCCATCCATCCATCCATCCATCCATCCATGTTATCTATCTATCTATCTATCTATCTATCTATCTATCTATCTATCTATCTATCTATCTATCTATCTATCATCTATTTTCATCCATCCATCCATCAAAGAAATGGACATCAGAACAGAGTGGCCAAGAAATAAATCACCACCTGAGGAAAAGACACACTATCTATTTCTGTTTTCAGTATCAAATTCATTCAGCATCACAAGATGTTCTTACCACCCCCACAGATATAAATATATAAATCACGACTGGTGGGGCAGGATGGGACCCTCTTGAAGGTCTGGCATCTGTTTCACACCACACAGGACAACATCAAATCTATTTAGATATGCTTAGGAAGCCTCAATCCTTTTCTATATTCTTCAACTCATTCTGAATCTTGTTAAAATCAAGCATCTGTTCAATCGTATTCCACTGTTTGCATCCCCTAAAGCTTTTAGCTTTAAATAAAGATTTCATTGCGCATTACCAGCCCAACCATATCATGTTAAGCGGATCCTTGCCAGATCCTCCAAGAATGATCTAAGCAGTAGAGAAACAGTAGAGAAACTACTGATATGTGCATTTTAATGTATTAGCAGTCCAATGCTGAGAAAGAAAAGAAAGAAAGAAAAGACTCATTTGAGGGTGGGAGGAAGAAAGGAAGGAAGGAAAAGTAAGAAGGAAAGAAGGAAACACAGATAGAAGGAGGGAAGAAAAAAGAAAAATTAATTTTGAGGAAGGGAGGGAAGAAGGAAGGAAGGAAGGAAAAAGAAAAGAAAAACAACCTACAAAATAGGACATGGGAAAAGAACAAAACTGGGACACACTTTCATCTCTGAAAAGGAATGAGCACCAGTTTCTATAGGAACAGCCAAAAGGTACAATTTTTCTTCTATTGTTCTTCGGCAAATAGATGAGGCTGGTGGGTGTGTGGGTGTGGGTGTGTACATGCCCCACATTGTCAAGATAAAGTCTCTTTCAAGTCTAGCTTGACTCGTGAGTCCTCTGTGGACCCATCCTTGGCTTTTATTTAGCAACAGCATTGAAAGCTTGCCTCTGTCTTCTCTCAATCTTTCCCCAACCCCCCAGAGCTGGCCGACAGCCCTGAGATCTTGTGGTGGCTTGCAAACTCTGCTTAGCTTTCTGAAACTAGGCACGGTTGGCTTTAGAAAGATCTCTGGAGCTCAGAACAAAGCTGGGAGACGAAGGCAAGAGACGTATGCAGGAAGATGGACAGCGGCTAATATTTGTATGTTACTTACATGCAAGGGCGTAGGTCTATACATATGTTGTATATAGTATATTTTAAATGTGTGTTATGTAGTTGTACACTTGAGAGCAAGCAACTAAATTTCATTTTTAATGTGTGCCGTTGTGCCCACAGGAAAAAAAAGGACAATAAAGGTTATCTAATCTAATCTAAAATATTGTGACATTCCCCCTTTTTCTCCTCGCTTACCTTCAGTTGCTTTGTTGAGAGAAGAAAGGGCAGTCAGTACCTTGGAGAAATTTTCTCCGGAGTAGAGATTGTGGGCATCAAACAACTGGGAGAAAGATGGGGGGAAAAAAAGAAGAAATGTCATGCCAACATTTGCAGCCTTAAGGAAACGCAATCCAAACATTTAGAGCTGTTTCAGTGGCTGTGAGCAAGCAAAGCTCCATGTTTAGGGGCAGTCTACCTTGCACCTCGCAATACCTGTTGCTAAGGCTGGAGGCTACAGGAAGAGCCCTCTTGCGGAGCTTCCTAGAGATATTGGCTAGCAACGAGGACTGCTGGGCCACCCCTGACCTTCACTTTTTTAGTTATCAACCCACCTTTCCCAGCCCAAGGACTCTCCAGATGTGTGGACTTCAATTCCCAGAATCTTCGACCACCTGTGTGGAGCATGCCGGGATTTTCTGAAAAAACGAGCAGCCAAATCAAACAGCCGTTCCCAATACTTTTAACATTGCACCATTCTGGCTTTCATTTGGGGGTGGGTATAGATTTGTTTGAATTTCCTGAATTTCGTCTTCTTCTTTCTTCTGATAGCAACCAGTTGGCTCTGGTGCATTTTGCTCCTTAAAGTAGAGCTATGCAGAGTTTATTAAACCAAAACAGCAGCTCCACCATCTTCAAGCAAGGATCCGGCCCTGCTTTACTACAGCGAGTTAAATTTTAAAAGCAACTTTTCCCTTTACGTCAGCTGTTCTGCAGCTGAACCCCCAAACGCGAAGCTTCTGTGGCTTTCTTTACATTCCGGCCAAGCCAAGGGCGATTCTGTGACCTGAAGACTGTAATTTAGCGTTCTAAAGAGGGAACAGGAGTTTGTTTGTTTGAGCAGCTCTTTGCAAGGCCAAATTATCATCTGGCAGGGAAGTGTGCTACTCCATGATCCTGGATTGTGGCTCGTATCTTCTCCGGCACTTTGACCACCAGAGATCTATGGGGCTTTAATTTAGAGGCTGCAGCAATGGGGTGTTCTGCTCTTGTGGTCCAATTTGTGGCAGGATCAGTGCATGGTCTGGGAGGGAGTTGTGTGTTGAAACCCATTGTATTCTTGCAAACAAGTATAGTCCATTTTTCCAAGATTATTATCTACCCAAGACAGCACACAATATAAAACATGCGCTCAGATATCGATGTAACCAGAAACATAGCTGCCTTCCAGTATTTGAGGGGTTGCCACAAAGGAGAAGGGGTGAACTTATTTTCCAAAGCACCAGAAGGCAAGACAAGAAGCAACGGATGGAAACTGACCGACGAGAGAAACAGCCTGGAATTAAGGAGAAACTTCCTAACAGAGAGGACAATCAACCAATGGAACAGCTTGCCTTCAGAGGTTGTGGGTGCTTCATTCCTGGAAGTTTTCAAGAAGGGACTGGACAGCCATTTGTCCAGAACAGTACAGGGTCTCCTGCTTGAGCAAGGGGTTGGACCTCTGAGGTCCCTTCTACTCTATTCTACATTTTCTCCCATTAAGATGGATCAGGATAGAATGTGCAAAAGCAGTAGAAATTACTAAGGAATGGCCTTTGGGAGAGAAAAAAAATGGAGCCCTTTTAAAAAAAGGGGAGAGGAGAGACACCATCTGTGGCATGCATCATTTCATAACAGGCATTCCACTATATGCACCATTTGGAAAAAAAGCCCTTTTCTTTTTTTTTTTTTTTTGAACATATTATTTGTATCCTATATTTATGGCAGAATCATCACCTACAAGGGATTAATCATACCCAGACTCTTGGTTATAAATTGCATCACCTCCACATCCAATTCAGATCCGATCCCATCTAAACCAACCCAGAATGCCTTAATTGGTTTATTTTAGTTTATAGTCAGAAACGTCTTTGCAATCGATCTAAAGAACTTTCACTGATTTACCTATCTGCATAAGTAGCCAAATTCCCTTAAAACCAATTTCTCCATTTGACAGAATGCTTTCAAAAGCAAGCCAAAAGAGGTGAAGCATCTGCCCAAATTTTTTATCCTACAGACCCATACAAAAGATTAGATGATTGGGGGGGGGGGAATGCCCACACATTCTGAGATGGAAAGCAGAGTGGGTAGAAAAGAGGGGGGGGAGTGGCAGATTGCGGTCTGGAGGGCCACAAAAGGAAGCACCTTATGGAAGGAGCTGCTATGCCTCACTCAGTCCCACCTGGAAGAAAGAAAGAGACTCTTTTGACGTTCTCCAGAACTTGCAGGGAGAACTGAAATCATGGTGGAACTTCCCCACTGAAATGTGTGGATTCCCCCTTCCACTCTTAAACAAGTTCCTCCTGGCTTAGAGTCTAGAGCAGGGGTCTCCCAGCTTGGCAACTTTAAGACTTGGCTGGCTGGGGAATTCTGGGAGTTGAAGTCCACAAGTTTTAAAGTCATCGAGTTTGGAAAGCCCTGGTCTAGAGTCCTCCGGATAGTCCTCTCTGTGCAACCCTCAACCAAAGACCTTGTGCAATTAGTGCCACTTTTTCACCCTTCAAGGGTTTCGATGCCCCAACTTTCCATGGCCAAGCCCCTCGCCTGCTATTACAGAGGGACCTAGCCCTGCCCCCCCCCCAAGCCTCTTTTCTCTGCATCTCCCTCTGGTTTCTTCTGCCAATTTTCTCCAGGAAAGCAATTTGGTTATGGCAGAGAAATCATTAAGCTGTTTCTGGATGAATATCAGAATTCCCAGCTTGACCTCCAAGAGTGCATTGGCCGCACGTGGCCCATCATCAAGCAGGGCCAGGAGCCCTGCCAGCTGGAAGTCCCCCTTGGTGGAGGGAGAGTAAAGGTTATGAGCGGATGATGGGCCTGGATGTCCAACCACCCTGCAAATTGTATCTGGAGGCACCCAGGGCTTCTTCTATGCATCCGGCAAGAGGGCACCAGATGTGGAATGGGGAGGGGGGACCGGGCTCCCCTTTCCACATCCAGAGAGCATGGCAAGACCCAGGGCCCTTCCTTCTGCGGACGGGTCGAGAGGCAAGAACGGGCAGAGCTCCGACCTCTCCCGGGGACCCTCCGGGCGCCCCGAAAAGCGGGCCAGAGGAGGCTCAGCCCCGTCGCCCGGGACAGAAACTTGGCCAAGGAAGGAGGAAGCGTCTTACCTGCGCTGGGAAGCGGCGGAAACCCTGCAGGCCCCGGGGAGGAACGGAGCAGGGCCGGGGCGCACCGGGGAGCCCCTACCCGGGTCGGAGGCGCGGAAGTCGGCGGAGGGGAGGTAGACGGGACCGCGCAGCTGGAGGAGGCGGAGGACTCCGGAGCTGGCTCGCCCGTCCGTCCGTCCGTCCGGTGGCTCAAGCGCTGCGCTCCGTCTGCCCGGGCGCCGCTGCCTGCCTGCGATCGAGGAGCCCCCGCTGGGCAGGGACGGCCTGACCCGGAGCTGGATCGCGGGCGGGCGGCGCAAAGCAGGGGAAGTGACAGGCGGCGGGAGCGGGAGGCAGCCAGCCAAGCAGGGGCGATGCTCCGGAGCGCCCCCTCCGCGCCGCCTGCCGGGGAGCGCCCTGCCTTCTGCGGAGCCGGCCGCTCCCCTCCCCGCCCCGCGTCAAGGCGTCCCCGGGGTCCCGCTCAACTCCCCAGCCCGGGCCGTGGATGGGAAGATGCCCCCGAGTCCCTGCCGGTCTGCCAGGCCTCCCTGGACCGGGCGACGGCCAGCAAACCTCCCTCCCTCGCTCCCTCTCTTTTCTTTTTACAACAACCTCGCTATGTAGGACAAGCAGGCAGACTCTGAGCGTCACGACGACCCCCGCTGGAAATCGGCCTAGCAACTAGTCGTTGCCCCAGATCTGCAAACACGGCTAGCCGGTGGAAGGGAGGGGGGGAAGGAGGGGACGAGGGGGGCTGGCCTGGCTGTAGCTGGCTTGGCACGAAACTGTAGTTTCGGTCGCGAAGAGGCCGCGGGTTTCGGATTGTAGACAGAAGCCCGAGAAAGGGAAGGGACGTCCACGGCTCTGCAAAATGTGATTTACGTTACCCAGGAGGCGCTCAGTCCAGCACAAGCGAATTTCTCAATGGGGCCTCCGTTGGAACTCCCTGCCACTCTAATCGCCTGCCTGTTGCCCAGCCTGGCAGCCAATCGGAGTTGGAGTGGACCCCAGACAGGCCCCCTTCCTCCCTCCCTCCTTCCGCAGAAGGGCTTCGTGATATGCTTGGCAGCGTTATTAGCAGGAGAGCAACCGAGAAAGCAACTGGGTGGGTGGGATAGAGGCGGTGCCACTGGGAGCTGGTATTTTCATATCCCCCTCCCAATTATCTCACCAAAGCCCCGGCTCAGTGATGACCAGCTTGAACCCAGACATCTGCTTCGCCTTTGCTGTCGAGCCCCTCCTTGCTCTGATACAGGAACTGAATCATCCCCAGAAACAATTGCCGCTGGGAACAATGGGAGTGGGCTGTGAAAGTGGGGGGGGTCCCCTCCCCAGACTCACATATGGCACCTGGTGGGAGTTGCTGGTGCAGAGCTGCAACCACTGAATTTTCTACTGTAGTGTTCTTCTCTTCCACACCCTCCCACCCCACCTGACCCGACCCTCCGTTTCCCCACAGATGTGTATGTAAACCGGGAAGCCGAGTGGGGACAGGGTAAGGGCAGGAATCCCCCCCCCCCAAGCCTTCCTAAAGATAAGGTAGACTGAAGAAGACAAGACTGTGAGAAGACGCCTCGCCCTTGGGAAGCCTAAAACCTGCCATTCTGGTTCTTGCATTAGCTGGACTCCAGAGAAGTGCCGAATTGGTGCAAAGGCAGGGAAGCTGCTTTGAGAAGGTCTGAACTCAGAACTGGCCTTGCTACAGGAGAGTCACAGGACTCAGGATCTGCTTCCGGGGCTGGAAATCCTCTGGGTTCAGAGAAAGCCCCTTTTAAAATCTTCCCCAGTCCCAGCTCTCGCTCATTATCCATCCATCCATCCATCCATCCCTATCTATCTATCTATCTATCTATCTATCTATCTATCTATCTATCTATCTATCTATCTATCTATCTATCTATCTATCTATCTATCTATCTATCATCTTTGCAAAACGTCCTGGTTTCAGCTGCTGGTTATTTCCAATGAAACCTTCTCATGAACCAAAATGGACTTAATGATTTTGCAGACGGAGGACAAAGCACGGCTGCCTTCTACAGCAGCCACACACGCCAGCAGACTTTCTTCAACCCAAGGAGGACATCAGCCTCCTCCAGGGCTACCATTGGGTCAGGTGATTGGGTTACAGCAGCTCTTCCTTACCACCTCCCTGGCACTCTCTGCCTAAGGCCAGCCCCTCACTCCATCGGGCAGCTGGACCAGACCCCCACGGTGCTGTGATCTGTTGCGTCTTACCTCCACTTTCAGCGCTGCACACCCATTTAAAAACTGTTGGATATTGCCAATGCAGTCGGCTTCCGTCTTGGGCTCCAGGCAGTACTAAAAAAGAACCAGAAACCAACAGTCAACGGATTTGGAAGCTTGCTTGCTTTCAACTCTGCTTTCAACTCCTGTCAGCTAGCTTGCTTTCGTTCTCAAAGAACATTACTCTGAGTGTTTGTACGAAGGAATGAGACAGCTTGGTGCTCACTGGATTTTCACAAGAAGATGGACTGTGGGTGGGTGGGGGGAGGTGGGGAAGACAAGCTGTCAACTCAGGAAGAACCGTGGAACAAATGAACCCAAAGCCATCCAGCTTAGGATTTGGCGCTGAATGCTTGAGATGATCTTGCCCGTAAGATGCCCTTCTGCCAGGAAGAGAAAGATTGTTGGCAATAAAGATATGTGAACTACCGGTAGAAGGGGAGATCCCTCTGCTGAGCAATTCTGGGAATCTTTATGGGTGATAGACTAAGATCTTTAGCGCTAACGGAGAAGGTCTTCTGCATTTTGCAGAGAGCTATCTAGCTTGGAAAGCAAGCGAGAACGTGCAGGTCCTTCAAGATGAAGTAGAAGGATCCTAGCAAGGAAAATAATAATTTCTTAAGTGGCTTCAGACCTGCTTGATTGATTCAGTTGGGTTTCTTGGAAATCAGTTGATCTCCATCATAGGAGATGCTTACACAAAAGACTTTGCTGTACCAGGCTGCTTGTTAGCCTAATTTCGGGTGATAATGGCAACCTCTAAAGCTGGGTCACGTGGGTGTGGAGTCTTGCATTTCAAAGACTTGCTCCCATGCAAATCTGATCCTTAAAACAGTTACTGCTGCATTTGGAATATTGTTGGCAACCTTCTAATTATAATTCCGGTCTTTCTGGTTTTGTTGCTCTGGTGGATTTCTTTTTTCCCCCCTTTTTCTTGAGAAACGGGGAAGTTCTTTGAAGAGGAGAGAAGAAATGTGCATAACAACAACTCAAATGGAATAAATCATCTGAAACCTTCTTCTAAGGCCTATGAAGACCTCAGAACCTGAAAAACATCTTGTTTTCTTTGCGAGGATTCCAGTTTCTGAAAGGCATTTCAGAAGAAACACAGCAGGGAAAATTGAGGTTGAGTGAAAACTGTTTCGATTATGGAAATGTGATATTTAATTATTTTGCTTTGTTGCTGCTCTTAGGATTTCCTGCTCTGCTGATTTAGCACTGATTATGGGCTTGTCTCTGGCTTTAACAGTCATGGTTTAGAAGGATGTTTTTCAAGACGGCCGTAAAATAGGTTTGCATTAAGCCACTGTGTTTGTCTAACTTGCATATTGCATATTAACTGCAGATATGTTAGACTTCCATTCTCACAGCTCTCCACTATATTCATGCTGGGCTTCAGCTCACTGGAGCTGGCATAACTGTCAATCATCAGGACAGAGAAGTTTTTACATTCAGTTACATCACTGTGTGTTTAAATACAGCTTGTTGAATAAAATTCCCTTTTGCGTGATCCATGTCCTAAAATCAAGTCACTGTTTACAAGTCACAGGGGACTTCCCAGTATTGCTAACCCAGAATTTCTAGATATAGATTCACATGCTAATGAGACTCAAATGTACAGCTGTAGGCCATGCATGAAGAAAAGGTATCGATTTGCAGCAGGTCTGAATCAGCATTCTGCAAACAAATGGTCTGGCTCTAATGCTGAGCTTCTGCTAAAAATAAAAGGAGACTCTGGCCTCCATGGTTCTGGTTAAAGAGACACAGAGGAAGACGGCTTGTGCAAGAGTCAGACAGAGACTGTTCTGCAGGATCCCTCAAGCACTTCAGAATGCGTTTTTCCTAGAGATGCAGAACCAGGGATCCTGGATTCAAAAATCCTGGTTTCTGGTTTTAACCAAAGCTCAATATAATAAGAACTTGCGAAGTACAGAGATGTGGAGACTGTCCTTCTGTGCATTTTATACTTTTTTTTTAGCTTTTAAAATTATTGTTTATATGCCACCCTTCTTATGCTGGTTCAGTCACCACAAGTAAAATTTAATTGATTGACCGGGGCATGTAGAATTGTCATTAAAATACAATCACTGGGTCCACTATGTCTTCATGTTTTGGAGGAGAAATAAAGTAGCCTTGAAGTTCATGTCATCCCTGAAGTTGCCAAAGGATGCCCAGAATTTTCACATCAAGCCTCCAGCAGCTGTCTCACTGAGGTTCCTCACATTCCAGGTCAGGGGTGCAGGACCCCATCGTGCAACCCAGGCCAATAACACTACCATTACTATTACTACTACTACTACCTCCTCCTCCTCCTCCTTCTTCTTCTCCTCCTCCTCCTCCTCCTCTTCTTCTACAGGATTGGCTCATTCTGAGTGGGAGGGGAGGAAATCCAGCCCGTTGAAGGATTCCTCTAAATGAGGGATATTTCAAACTTGGCAACTTTAAGACTGGTGGACTTTAGCTCCCAGAATTCCTCACCTAGCATGAGGAATTCTGGGAGCTGAAGTCCACAAGTCTTGAAAAGCTGTCAAGTTTGAAGACCCCTGCTCTAATCCTTCTGCTGAACAATTCCAAGAGGAAGGTGGTCCGCGCAGATACCCCAAGAAATGCTTCCTTTTTCCAGAGAAAGAAAGGAACTTCCAACGCAACGTGAGGAGACAACAGATTATTTCTTCCTCTTTTTTTTGTGTGTTTTCCATTTGTCTCTTGCACTTTCATAATGCTTCTGAGTCTAAATGTTCACAGATCTTCCACTTCTATATTTGCTAGATACAGGCTTAACTTGAGGGGGCTTCATACTTTCTATGCGATTTCTAAATCATGTTAATATCCTCTGCCTTAGTCGTCCCAAATCAATAGTCTGAAAACAGGAGCAGAAGGAGAAAAAAATACTGAAATAACTTAGGATCCCGTTTGAGCCGGTGAGTTCTGCCGTGAATCGAGCTGTCCTTGAGCCAATGCTTTCAGAGAAAATTAATGGTATTTTGGGTTGGCCCCAGGTATGCTCTCTCTTCTTCAATTCTAAAAGGACCTTTTGTATCTCTGTTATAAATTGGAAACCTCTTTGATTTTGCCTTTTTTTTTTAAAAAATTTTTTTTTGGCTGTATTCCAGAAACTGGGCATGTTCTTCCATTCGGTAGCTAAAAAGATTTTTTACTGGACTGTAGAGCAATCAACTATTTTGGTTTCTTCGCACCATTCAAGATCTTCAAAGCTTCTTAGATTCTCCAGTGATAGGGGATCCTGTCCCCATAATCTTAGGAACCAGGATTTCCCCCCCCCACTTGCAATTAAAACACTTGCAATTAAAATTTATCCCTCAATACTGAAGAGCTGGCCTCCCCAAAAGTCCCTCTCTACCCTCTTTCTAGGCAAGCAAATTATCCCGGGCATACCTTTCCGATAGATCCGGGCAG